CAACGACGTTGTAAAACAAGCCAATGCACTTCGTGAACTCGGCAACCAGGTTACCGTTTTTTTTTTTTACCTCTGTTTTTTTTTTTTGGAGGTAACCATAATGGTGGTCGAGTAGATCGTGTTGTGCGGAGAAACCTCACTCCGCGCAAGGGGGATGATCGCACCGCGTTGTGTTAAATTGGTCAAGCATCCTCGAGGCAGTTACACAGTGCTTATAACTGTCTCTGGAAGTGAACGCACCAGAAAATAAATTAAGTCATACGCAGCTGTCATCCGTACGCAAGGAAGTAAGCACAAGATGCCGAACACCCTTAGCAGGATGCAGCTCACCCTTCATGCGACTCGCCGAATACCTCACGGTGCTTCGCGCTTGGTGATGTGAGAGCCTGGTCCGGTGAGAACCCGGCATGCTCCGTCCCGGCTTTGTAGGGATGCGAGGTCAATGGTCTAACGACTACGGCATGCACGACTATGAGTACACCCCCCCCCCCTGCGGCCTCTCTACCTCCGGTAGCGACAAGAGTGCCTCCCGCCGCCCCCCCTCCCGGCCTCATCTTTTTTCCTTTTTTTTTGTTGCGGTAAAACGCAATGGTGGCAGGGATGCGTGGTAGGGATGCGAGGTCAATGGGCTAACGACTACGGCATGCACGACTATGAGTACACCCCCCACCCCCTAAATACCCCCCGTCCACATCACACCAAACCTCTTGCTTGATTGCGTGGCCGTGTGTTTAATTGGACAAGGGGGGCGGGTTCGATGGCGGTGGGCGTGGTGAGCTGCCTTGGAAGAGAGATCGGGCGCGCCCTCAAGCCAGACCTGCTCCCTCCCTGGGCGAACAGGCCGGCAGAGCAGGGGCTCGAGGAGGTGGGTACCAGCGTTTTGCTCCCGAGAAACCGAAGTCGAGGGATCTGTGTGTACCACCGTCCTTCACCCTAGCCGAGGTCAAGGGATGAATGTAACCCATCATGATGAAAATTATGTCAGTTTCTATTGGCCAATGCCTTTCTCTTCGAGGGAGATGGGTGTCACCCGTCGTTATTCACGGAGTTTCTGTAAGTTAAGTTACTTTTTAACCTCCTTTGTGTGTTTCTGACACTGTCCTTGTTGTCGTTTTCTTGTCCGTTCGTTTGGTCGACGGCGTTGTTTGTCGCCAGGTGTTGGTGCGGATGACAAACGAGAACTTCTTGGCTCAGCTGAGGAGTTTCTTGGTGTCGGTGGTAGCCTACCCGGCTGCTCTGGCCCTCATGGTAAATATAGACGACAGCAGAGAAGCTACGGAAGCTCGCGTGCTCCATGTCTTTCGTAGTCCGTGCTTGGTGTTTTGGAATTGTTGCCGGTGCTGTTGATGTTGTCGTTGTTGATACTGGTGTTGGTGTTGTTCTTGTTGCTGTTTTCACACTCAAAAAGAAAAACCTTCGAACATCCTTGTTGGCCCATTTTATGCGTACGCCTCTCCGTGTTCACAGACCAACTACACCCCAAATTGACAAACTTCCCCGAATTTTTGGAATTGTTTTGCTTTGTGTTCAGCCGGATAACTGAGAGGTTGAAGAAGAGGGTGCAGTCTGGCGAATTTTAGAGTACAGCCGCTTTCTGTTTTCGTAGCGGTGGCCTCGCACTTCTCGCCATTTCGCTAGAAAATCGAAGGCACTCCGTGAGATGGATCCCCTACTTCGGTGTGCAACCTCAGCCTTCGGCGGCTCGTTCGGGGTCGATGAAGGACATGGCCGGGATGGCGATGAAAACAGGTTGGGTAATGAACACTTCCCCCCCCCCCCTTCTCATTGATGGGTACCCTACCCCCCCCCCCCCCCCCCCCCCCC